GCCTGCCTGCCCCAGCCCTCCGCTACCTCGCCCGCAAGTACCACCGCAACGAGACCTACATCCGGTGAGCGCCCCCGGTGCCCCCCTGCCCCACAACGCCCCCCTGCCCCAGCCCCACAGCGCCTGCCTGCCCAGCCCTCCGCTACCTCTGCCCCCAGCAGCTGCTACCCCATAGTTCTCCTCTGCCCCTACCCCTCAGCACCGACTGCCCCCAGCGCCCACCTGCCCCTGCCCCTTGTTACCCCTGCCCCATAGCACCTTCGTGTCCCCCGGTTCCTGCTGCCCCCAGCGCCCCTCCTTGCCCCCAGCACCTGCTACCCCACAGTGCCCCCTTCACCCTGCCCCCCAGCACCCCTCCTGCCCCCAGCACCCGCTGCCCCCAGCATCCCCCTGCCTCAGTCCCCTAGTGCCCCGTGCCCCAGCCAGCATCACCCCCAGCCCTACAGCACCCAGCCCCATAGTGCCCAGTGCTCCTGGGCCCACACCCACCCCACGGCCCGACAACTTCCCACAGTGCCCAAGCTGAGCCCCCCCCGCTGCTGTCCCTGACATTGTGCCCGCCACCAAGCCCCCCTCGCTGTGCCCGCGCTGACCCCCTGTTGCTGTGCCCGTGCCGAGCCCCGACGTTGTGCCCGCGCCGACCCCCCCTTGCTGTGCCCGTGCCGAGCCCCTGCTCCCGTTTGTCCCGCCCACAGAGAGAACTTCCTGGTGCTGGACATTTTCTTCGAGGCGCTGAACTACGAGGCCATCGAGCAGAAGAAGGCCTACGAGCTGGCGGGGCTGCTGGGTGAGTGGCTGGGGCCCTCGTGCCCCCTGGGCACCCCCCGCGCCACCCCGCCCATCCGGGGGTGCCCCCACCCCATCCCCCCCGTCCCTGGTACCCCCTGTCCCTGGGCACCCCCTGTGCCACCCCGCCCATCCGGGGGTGCCCCCACCCCATCCCCCCCTGGCCCCTCATGGCCCCCTGGCCCTGGGCACCCCCCGTGCCACCCCGCCCATCCGGGGGTGCCCCCGCCCCATCTCCCCACCCCTGGATGCCCATGAGCTGCTCCACCCCCAGTGCCGTCCCGCCCAGTCTGTGGTGCCCAGGGGCCATCCCCCGCCCCTACCCCCGGTCGCCCCAGGACACAGCCCGAGGGAACCTCTCACCTCCCCCTGGGCGGGCACGGACGGGTCCCGTTCCCCGCACACGCCCTGGCCGTGGGCAGAGCAGCCGCCCAGCACAACGGGTACCCGAGGGACGGGGGCGCTCGGCCCTCGGGTGCCCTGGGCGGGGCAGACGCCAGGCAGGGACATGGGGCAGCATTCGACTGGCTGTAATAACCCCTCCCCCCACTCCTCTCCCACCCCCCCCACTGTCCCCTCCTGCCCCCCCTACGGCTCCCCCATACTGCTCGCCAACACCCTGCCACTGCCCCCTGCCACTGCCCCCTGCTCCTGCCCCCTCCCCCACTCTCACTAGCCCCCCATGGCTCCCCCTCCCCCCACTGCTCCCCAACACCCTCCCACTGCCCCCTCCCCCACTCTCACTAACCCCCATGACTCCCTCTCCCCCACACTTCTCCCTCCTGCCCCCCCATGGCTCTCCCCTCCTCCCCCTACCCGCCCCTGGCACCAGTGGCTCTGGGGAGTCAGTCAGGTGCCCCCCAGCAGTGCCCTGCCCCCAGGGCCTGTCCCGGCCGATGGGCGCAGAGGGCTGAGCCAGGCTGGCTCCGGCAGCCCCTTCCCCCCATAACCCCCAATCCCCCGTGACCAGCTCCCTCTCTCCTGCCAGGGGACATCGGGGGGCAGATGGGGCTGTTCATCGGCGCCAGTATCCTGACCATCCTGGAGATCCTGGACTATATCTATGAGGTGAGCGGCAGCGCGGGCAGCTCCCAGGCCTGTGTGGGGCGGGGGCAGGGGGGGGTCACACAGACCCTGGGCACCCGTCTCTCGCCCCCCATTGCCGGACGGTTCGGCCCGGCGTGTGGGCTCCACACCGCCCCCTGCAGGCCCCTGGTGTTCTGCCAGCTGGGGTGGGGGTGCACTGCTCTCCCCATGGCTCACCTCCCCTCTGCCCCATCACGCCCTGCGAAGGAGCAGGTGGCCGGGGGGGGGGGGGGGGCAGAGTTGGCGGGGGGAGCTCCGAGCTGGGCAGAGGAGGGGCCAACCCGCCATCCTGAGTGAGTATGTGTGAGTGTGTGTCTGGGCGTGTGTGTGTACACGTGTGTCTGGGCATGTGTACATGTCTGGGGTGTCTATACACATGTGTCTGGGCGTGTCTATACACGTGTGTCTGGGCGTGTCTGTACACGTGTGCGCTGAGCAGCCCCCCCCCACGCTCTCGCCTGCCCAGGTGATCCGGGACAAGGTGAGCCGGGTTCTGGGCCGCTCCAAGCCGCCCCTGAGGAAGCCATCGGGCAGCATCGCCACGCTGGGGCTGGAGGAGCTCAAGGATCAGGTACTCGGCCCCGGCCCCGCCGGCAGCCCCCGGGCGTGGTGAACGGGGCCCGGCCGGCGACACCTGGGGTGTGTGGGGGGGGAGAAGGGGGCGGGCCAGTGAGACGCCCGGGGCGGGGGTGGGGGAGGAGTCTAAGTACAAGGTGGGGGTTGTAAGTGCGGCGCTGACGGTTCTCACCCCTTGTCCCTGCGCCGCGGGGCTGGGGTCAACGCTGCTGGGTTCCTGCCCGGAGGAGGCTCCCTGCCAGGCTGGGCACGGCCCCGGGCCCCTCCGTCTGGCTGGGTGCACCCCCGGGGCCCCGTCGGGCTGGGCACGGCCCCTGGCCCCTACCAGGCTGGGTGCACCCCCGGGGCCCGTTGGGCTGGGCACTGCCCCTGGCCCCCCCGTCAGGCTGGGTGCACCCCCCCGGGCCCCGTCGGGCTGGGCCTGGCAGGTCGTTCAGCGGGTCCCGCTCCCCAGACACGCTGGGTTTTACCCTGTCTCAGCCCATAGAGGTTTTGGGCTGGAAAGGCCCAGGTAGTCCTGCCCCTGTGCTGGGCTAGGCCCAAGTAACCCCAGCCTGTCCCCGACGGGGGCTTGGCCCACCCCTTCCTAAGAACCTCCCGGGTCAGGGGCTGCACCGGCTGCACTCTGCCGCTGCCCGTCGCCCCGGCTGTCTGGGCAGGTGCCCGCTAGTGCTGGCCGAGGTGTCTGCTCGTTACAAGGGGGCCCTGCGGCCCCGAGACTGGCCCACGGCGTCGGCCCCCGCAGCTGCGTTTGGGGCGCGTTAGCAGCGCTAGGCCGGAGCCCAGGCCCCGGGGCCGGGCCGTGGGCGCAGTGAACCCCTGTGACATGACGCTGGGAAACGCTGCTGTGAGGCGCCGGCGCTCGCCCAGGTCGCGAACTCGCCCGCTGTGGCCGTCAGAGCGGCGCTGGCTCAGCACCCGCTGGATTTACTTTAATTTCCTCCTAGTGCAAAAATCGAAGTGATTAAACCTCCTTGGAAATGCTCATTGCTAGCGTCTGTGCGACCAGCAGCACGGCCCGGGGACCCCTCCTGGGCCCCAGGGAACCAGCCCGGGGCCGGCTGCCTGCCCGGGGGCCTGGTGCTGTCCTGCCCGCAGGGGCTGGAGTCTGTGGGCAGCAGCAGCCTCGTCCGGCGCCCCCCAGCCTGAGCTACCGGACGGGAGGCTCTGGGGCCGGCTGCGCTGTCGCTCTGGGGTCGGTCGGGGGAGCTCTGTGCGTGGCAGCAGAGTCACGCCAGGGTCCCACGGTGTGGGGCAGACCTGAACCCCGCCCTAGTGAGCGGCATGTGTGGGGCCTGGTGCTGACTATCCCGGAGGGATGCCCGTGGCCGCCCCGTCACAGCAGGAGCACGGTGACCAGGCCGCGCTGCCCCCTGCTGGGCAGGTAGGGCCGGTGTCCGGCAGGTCCCTTGTCATGTCCGGATTGTGGTCCTGCTGCGATACCTCTGGGACAGGAGTTACAGCGGCACTGGTTCCCCCACGCGAGGGGAGATGGACGGGGCTGGTGCCGGGGCGAGGGGTCCCGGCCCTGGGGGCTGGTGCCGGGGCGAGGGGTCCTGGCCCTGGGGGCTGGTGCCGGGGCGAGGGCTCCCGGCCCTGGGGGCTGGTGCCGGGGCGAGGGGTCCCGGCCCTGGGGGCTACTGGCCGATACAAACAGCTCCGGCCGAGTCGCTCCATACGGGCTGGTGTTTCTAGTGCCTGGCTGCAGTCAGGGACCCTGGGGGGTCGTTCAATCTCCAGCCGGTGGAGCGAGGGGGAGCCAGGCCCAGGCTAGTGGCGAGGGGTGTTTGGCCCCTGCAGGCGATGGGGCCTGGCCAGACCCTGCCCTGGGCTGTAACCACGTCCCCACCCACACGTGGCGAAGCCAGGGCCTGACACAGCCACCTGGGGCCTGGACCGCGGCTGGATGGCACCGGGCTCCTCGCCCCGGCCTGGGCTCTCGGGATGGGCAGGGCCTCGCCAGCAGGAGGCGCAGAAACGCCTGGGAGAGGGGGCGGGTGTCGGCTGGGGGAGGGGAAACGTATGGCCCAGCAGAGCCGGCCCACGGGCCTCGTGGGCGGGGAGGGGTCTCGAGGGGGGGACACCAGGCCTGGCTCCCTGGGGGGCGGGGGGCCCTGGCTGCGGCGCTGACTTTGCCTTCCCCTGCAGAGCCCCTGCGGGACGCTGGGCCGACACGCCGAGGGCGCCTACAGCACCAGCATCCTTCCCAACCACCGCCACCGCTACGCCCACCAGGGCATCTTCGAGGACTTCGCCTGCTAGGCCGGGCTCAGCACTACGGACGCGACGGGCCCCACGACCCCACAGTCTGCACGGAGAGCGGGGCCAGCGCCTGGCACGACGGGCACCGGGCCCCTCCCCTCCCCAGCCGCCCCCCCCAGCCCGTCAGCCACGCCTGGTGCCTCCCGGAGAGGCAGTAGATGCTTTGGACCCCACACCCCTGCCTGCTCGCCTCCCCCGCCCGGACCCAGGACTGGCCCAGCGCGGCAGCCCCACGCCCAGCCAGCGCCAGGGTCGGCCCAGCACGAAGCACAGGGCGCAGAGCCGAGCCGCGCGGCCCTGCCCCGGGGAGCAGCCAGACTGGACAGACGCGGCACCGGCCAGAAAACAGCCCGGCCCGAGATCGGGCCCAGCGCGGGGACTGGGGGGATGTGGGGGGGGGGGGGGGGGG